GTCCCCAAGGTGCACCCCTCAAGGAAGCCCATGGCCACATCTTTCTCCCCAAGAGCCAGTGGCAGGTTCAAACCACAGACGGAGCCCTTCCACCCCAGCCCCACCAGGGGAACACGCTTCATGGGAGTGCAAGTCAGTGACTCACCACTGGCGCGGAGGCTGGTCAGTCCCAGCTGTGGAGGGTTGGGCAGGAGCAAGCAGATCCAGGACCACAGGGTTGGAGGAAGCTCACGGTCCAGAACACAGACGCTGACATCCCAGCAGAGGCAGGAGGCACAACGTAAAGATACCTGGAACACCTCCTTATGTATGGAGGCGGGCTCAGCCCCAAGACCACGCCCTTTCCAGAGATTGGGGGATCACAGGGTATCTTCTCCTGGAGGTGATTCCATTATGGCAGGGCCTCCTGCAGGGAATGGCGTGATGTCCCTGCTGCACAGGGTGGGAAATGCCGCCCCACCCAGCCACCCACCCCCACCCCCAGTTGTACAAAGCATTGACCTCAGGAACTTAGGCAACAGATTTCAGATCCTGAGAAGGTGACCTGGATTTACCATTAGTTGATGCCCAAGGGCCAGGTGTACTCTTTCCTCTTAGGCAGTGGGAGGAGACCACACGTGGGTATTAGCCCTTCACCCTGAGCTGTGGTTGGGTATTAGCCCTTCACCCTGAGCTGTGGTTGGGTATTATTAGCCCGTCACCCTGAATGCCCCATTTGCAAAGGTTGTGGGTGGCAGTTGTATGCATTAGAGCTTCCATTTTGAGCTCACTAGCTTGCAAAAGGCTCTGGATGGCAGTGACAGCCCCCCAGTCTTCTGCAGGGTGCCTGAAGATGTTACGCCTCCATTGAATTCCTCCTGATCCTTAAGCAAGGGTGTAGACCACCTTGCCCTCTGTGTGTGTCCCCATCATGGGCCTCAGCCTGCATCTGGAGTCCCACCACTCACTGCCACAATCAGGAATGTGGGGCAGTTCCCTTTGATCCATGCCCTAACGCTCTACGTTCCCACTGGGAATCCTCAGATGCCACTTGGCCCTCTTGCTAATGGCTGCCCTCGTCCTGATCACATCTCTGTGCTTCTTAGGACTTAAGACATGTTCTCCTCAATCTATATGTGAGGTGGAGGCCTCTTTGGTACCCTGCAACAGGGAAACCCTAAATCCATTTGCAGAATCCCCTTGGAGCTGAAGCTCCATTGATTCCTTCAGAGCATTCACTCAGGATCCAGATAGACCTGCCCTCAGGCAGAGTGCCTTAGGGAATGCATTACCCCCACCCTAGGCAGACCAGGGTCAGAGAGACCATCTCCCTTAGAGTCTGCCTGGGGGTGTCCTTGAAGGAGGTCACTCCCTGATGATCCCTGCCCAGAAAGCCACAGCGCACAGGTCTGGGGACAATTCTGTAATCTCTGTTATCTAACAGACAGACTGTGTCTCCATCCCTGCCCTGTTGCCACTTCCCTCATGCCATCAGTCCCTAGGAGATCTTGATCTGCCACCAGTCATGGCTTCGTGACAGTTTCCTTTGGGTTCCATGTCTCATTTCAGCAGCTGCAAGGTCATGAAGGGAGCCCTGGTAGCTTAGTTGTTATACACTGGGCTTGGATCTGCAAGGTGGGCAGGTTGAAACCAGGGCAGGAGAATACAGGCCTTTCTACTCCCGTGAAGAGTTACAGGCTCACACACGTGCAGGGGCAGTTCTATCCTGTCTTATCTAGAGTCACTAACAGTTGCCGAGGGCAGGAAGGGTTTTACGTTGTGTTTTGTTTTCTCTTTCTAATGTGTATGAATCCTCAGATGCCATCATGACTGTGCGATAATGACTCCCTCATCCAGAAGCTGGATCTAGTGTTTGTGTTGTCTTTCTCTCTGTTAAGGCGTATTCCATGTACAGTATACTCCTTAATTACTTTTGAATTTGGCGTCTCTTTAATGCCCTGGAACAATGGTCAGCAACAGAAAATGACTGTCTGGTCTGAACTAAAAGCTCACCAGGAACTTGAATACTACCCTCACCCTTGATCCCTTGAGTCAGTCAGTACCTCCCTCAAGGAGGCAGGGCCTTTCCAAGCTGATCACAGAGTCGGTTA